GGCACACCACTGTTCACAGGCCTCCAGTCCAAAAAGCAATCCTCCACCACCATTCTTTGTCTCCTACCTTCAAGTCAGTTCTGTATCCAAATAGCTGTATTCCACGTGACCTAACATTGTTAACCAGGCTACCATGCGGAACCTTGTCAAATGCCTTACTGAAGTCCATATAGGTCAAGTCCACTGCTCTGTCTTCATCAATCCTCTTCATCACTTCCTCAAAAAACTCAATCAGTTTAGTGAGACATGATTTCCCACGCACAAAGCCAAGTTGACTATCCCTAATCAGTCCTGCCTTTCCAAATACATGTAAATCCTTTCCCTTAGAATCCTGTCCAACAACGTGCCTAAAACTGATGTCAGGCTCACTAGTTTATAGTTCCCTGGCTTTTCCTTACCACAATTCTTAAATAGTGGCACCACGTTAGCCAACCTGCATCTCACCTGTGCATATTGATGATACAGATATCTCAGCAAGGGGCCCAGCAATTACTTCCCGAGCTTTCCACAAAGTTCTGGGGTACACCTGATCAGATCCTGGGATTTATCCACCTTTGTGTTTTAAGATGTTCAGTATCTCCTCCTGTTTAATAGGGACACTCTTCATTTATTCCCCTGAATTCTCTAGCTTCCATATCTTTCTCCAAAGTAAACACTGATGCAAAATACTCATTTAGTATCTCACCCATCTCCTGTGGTTCTACACATAGGCAGCCTTGCTGATCTTTAAGGGGTCCTATTCTGTCCCTAGATACCATTTGTCCTTAATGTATTTGTAGAATCCCTTTAGATTCACCTTAACCCTATTTGCTAAAGCTATCTCATGTCCTGTTTTTGTCCTCCTGATTTCCCTCGAGTATACTCCTACTGCCCTTATATTTTTCTAGGAATTCTCTCAATCCCTGCTGTCTAACCATAACATATGTTTCCTTCTTCCTCTTGACCAGAACCTCAATTTCTCTAGCAATCAAGCATTTCCCACAGCTACCAGCCTTGTCCTTCACCCTTACTGAAACATACTGTCTCTAGCATCCCATTGTCCTGTTTTTGAACTCTTCCTATTTTCCAGCCACCCCTTTACCTGTGAATAACCACCCCCAATCAACTTTTAAAAGTTTTTGCCTAATACCGTCAAAATTTGCCTTTCTCCAATATAGAACTTTAACTTTTAGATACAGTCTATCCTTTACCATCACTATTCTAAAACTAATAGAAATAAGATCACTGGCCCCAACGTGCTCCCCCACTGACACTTCAGTCAACAGCCCTGCCTTATTTCCCAAGAGAAGGTGAAGTATTGCTCCTTCTCTAGTGAGTACATTCACATACTGAATAAGAAAATTTTGTTGTACACGCTTAACACATTACTCTCCATCCAAGCCGTTACCACTATTGCAGTCCCAGTCTGTGTTTGGAAAGTTAAAATCCCCTGCCATTACCATCCAATTATTCTTACAGATAAGTGAGATCTCCTTACAAATTTGCTTCTAAATTTCCTGCTGACTAGTGGAGGTGTCTATAGTGCAGTCCCAATAGGGTGATTGTCCCTTTCTTATTTCTCAGTTGCATCCAAATAACATTACTGGATACACTCCTCAGAATATCCTCCCTAAGTACAGAAGTAATGTTATCCCTAATCGAAAGCATCACTCTCCTTCAGCTCTTCTGCCCCCGCCCCCACCACCTTTCTATCCTTCTTATAGCATCTATACCCTGGAATATTAAGCTGGTAGTCCTGTCCATTCCTGAGCCACATCTCTGTAATAGCTATATCCAGTCCCATGTTCCCCAGCCATGCCATAAGTTCATCTGCCTTACCTATCAAGCCTCTTGCATTGAAATAAATGCAGTTTAATTTATCAGTCCTACCTCATTCTTTACTTTTCCTGCCTGCCCTGGTTGTTTGACTTTCTCCTTCTCCCAGCTGCACTAGCCTCAGACTGATTTCTTTTCTCTATTTTTCTGGTTTCCAAACCTCACCCCACCCCCAACCCCACGTACTAGTTTAAATCATCCTATATAGCTCTCGCAAATCCCCCGCCAATTTATTAGTCCCCTTCCAATTCAGGTGCAACCCATCCTTCTTAAACAAGTCATGCCTACCCCAGATTAGATTCCAATGATCCAAAAGTGTGAATCCCTATACCCTGCACCAACTCCTCAGCCACACATACATCTGCTCTATCCTCCTATTCCTACTTTCACTAGCATTTGACATCAGGAATAATCCAGATATTACTATGGTCAAGGACCTGCTTTTTAACCACCTGCCTAATTTCCTATTTTTAGATAATTCCAACCAGAATGTTATGAATGAATTTGCCAAGTGTCCCAGAATACCAAAGCAGTCAAATCACTATGAACACAAGCTGGTACCAAAGCAAAACAGTCCCCAACTTTATTTGGGAACAAGTTACAATAACCATTAATACCAAAAATACTCTCTCTAATCCTACTCGTCCGCTTAAGCTTACAGTACTTTCTGAGACTCTTGTAGATTTACTCAGTTGCCCTCTCTCTGGCTTGTCTCTGGGTCTGCGAAACTGTTTTCTTTCCTCGCTCTCTCGCTGTACTCAGAAGGTCGAAGAGTGTTCTGCAGGTGAGCCCTGTTTATATACTTTTAGATGGTTTCCTGGAATTTTCTATAGTTCTGGCCAATCAAGGAGACATGCTTAATAATTTGAAACATTGTCAATTTGGACGGCTTGCTGCTGTTTGTTTGTATAGCAGGACCTGGTGCCGTTTTGTCTGGACACTCTGGTGGATTAGTTGCTAGGGGTATGTCTTGCCAGGATAATTGTTGCCTGTTATATTATGCTAAGGTCATTAGCACCTGGGTGCTGTGTTTGCACTGTGTCTGTTGTGTGTGTTTTGTGGTTACAAAGTTTTACTTGGCCAAATCAGCAATCTATCTGTGTTTTAGTAAACAGGAGGCTGCTGCAGAGTAGATTATTTGGATGTTTGCCTGTGGAGGCAGAAAGTGGGTGACTGGTTCAGGTCAGAGAAGGGGAAGGGGCATGGTGAACAACAGGAATGATCGGGTGAAAGGATTCACGAAGAAAAGGTTTACACGTTGTAAAATCAAAGCGGGTGGTAATGAGGTAAAGAAGATACAAAAGAGCTGAGTGTGGTGCGAATAGAGCACTAGCAATAATGAATACAAAGTAAAGACAATCAGTGAGAAACAGAAAAAAGGAGCAAGAGTAGACCATTCAACCTCTTGAGCCTGCTCCGCCATTCAATATGATCATGGGTTGCAGTCTAAGGACTGAGATGAGGAGAATTTCTTTTCACCCAGACAGTGGTGAATTAGTGTAATTTTTCACGGTCAAAATATGCAATATTTTCTTTGGGCTAAATGGACCAAATGGTATGGGACGAAAACGGAAATGAGTATTAAAAGGATCAGCCATGATACTTTTGAATGGCAGATTAGGCATGAAGGGCCGAGTGACCTATTCATGCTGCTATTTCCTAAAAGAAAAGAAAACAGGAAGAATGACTCTGATAAACAGGACACCCAGGGACAAGAGCAGAATGTGGGAATCACTGCAAAGGGAGCAGTGGGATAAAGACACTACACAAGGGTGCCATTCGGCACTGTCACTGCCCTGAGCAGTGATGCATGCCAAGGTGCATCAGCCATCTAAGTTCAAGATGTACAGGGCCATGGGGGACGGGAGGGAGGAACAAGCATACGGTGCAGCACAGGGGAGCAGATCACCTACCTCCCACATGCTGGCTCCATAAGACTCATCTTAGACTGTCCCACTCCTGGGCAGGGCTGGGTCAAGGGTCAGGAGGCTGCCAGCTGCTAGATTGCTCTGTGAATTGTGTGGGTTTAGGGAGCTTTGAGGGACAGATTATCCCAATCCAAGGATTTTGTCTGTAGGTGATCACTGTGTGTGTTAGATAATATCATTTCTCCTCACCCTTCCTGCTTCTCCCAATCCCAGTGCCAGGCTGCAGTCTCCGGGGCCTCTAGTGGGCACGAGGGCTGCTTGGTAGTTTGTCTCTTTGTGTAGCAGTTTAAGCAGGAGTGGAGATGGAGAAGAAGCTGCTGCTTTTCGCACCCAAAGACTCTGATCCCAGTCGAATCAAGTGATTGTCAAGGCAGGGTTATTCTAGGGCATATTAGAATTTTAAAAGGGCACTGTTCAATCAGTGTGCAATTATGCTTTTTTTTGTAACATTTATTTCTGGGCCTTTAAATCCATTTTGCACCAGCAGTTATTTTTAAACTAAACCTCCATTCTTAGATATGTACAAACTTGGGCAGAACAAGACTGGTAGACATTGTCAAGCCTGTCTGTTGAGCAGATGAAAATGGACCACATGAACTTCTGCTATCCCTGTGCCGAAGGTGCTCACATGGTGCTTTCTTTCTAAGGACTATCCATATTGTTACTCTGCAGTAATGAGCCATCTGTGACATATTTATTAGTTTACAAAAGAATTGGCATTTATATAGTGCCCTGACTATAATTAAATGTTCACTAGAATTTAGCAGACATTATATCACAAGGCTTGAAAATCAGGAATAAATGACCATCACTCAGCCGATCGTCGAGGGTATTGTCAAAAATGTCAGCTTAAAGGAGAACCTTAAAAAGGACCAAGTCAGGGAAGTTCAAGAAGGGAGTTTCAGAACTTATGGCTTAAGGTTTACGTGATTAATATATGAACAAGAACGACTTCAGATGCTGCCAGACCTGTTGAGTATTTACAGCATTTTTTGGTTTTTAGTTAAAATTTCTAGAATTTTGCTTCTACGTTTGCTGTTATTTCTTAGGACTTAAGGGTCTGGGGAGAAAGCAGGAACAGTGTTGGGTTGCAGATTTATAAAATGTCTCTCCTTCACTCATGTATCTCCCAACACTGCCTCTCCTTCTATAGTTTTGTGCAAACACTGACCTTTTTTTAATGTTGGGTTTTAGTTATAATCTGACAGTTCACATGGTAATTTTTCTCCAAGTATCTCTCTTCACAAATGATCAAAATAGAATTAGAATTAGGTTTTATTGTCACATGTACTCAGTATAGGAATACATGTGTATGTGGAAAATGTACAGAGTCGCCATTCTTCCCCACCATCTTGATTACAAAACCAGAATTTAATAAAAAAACAAAAAAACAATTTTAAGAAGAGCCAAAAGGTAAAACAACATCCAGATCTTAAAGTCTTATCTACATGCCGCCAATGCAGGGACCCAGGTGTAGCCCCAGCCTGGAGCTGAGATCAGACTGTGAGTCTCGCATCGATCGCCAGGAGGTGCTGTGTTCTTGTTGCTGTTGACGATGCCACCACCGCCTCCAATCACCAGGAGAAGCCTTGCTGCTGCTGCCTCAGCCCCCGAAACGCTGGAAGAAGCTGTGTCATTGCTGCCACTGATGCTGCCACATCCAATCACTGGAACTGCCGAGGTGGCTGTCATCATCGCGCAAAAGGCCCGCAGTCAATGTCATGCTGCCGCTGCCTTTGAATGCCAACAGGAGCCCGGGAGGAAATTGAACTGCGACCACCGCTGCCACTACGGCCCGATCTGACCGCTGATACCATGTTGATCGCCGAGGGGAGCCTGTGAGGATGCTGTCTCAAATCGCACTGCCATCACTGACCGCAGGGAGGTTGCTGCCATTCCACACATGGTGCACTCTCACTGCTGTGCTGATGCTGCTGAATCATCACGTAAGGCAATTTCTCACAACCTGTGTGTGTTCTTCTGATTTCCCTCTCAATGCTTTCTTTTTTTATTTTGCAGGTTGATTTGCAATTAGAGAATTCAAACAGAACCACGTCCAGATTTGACAGTCACTCTGTTTACCATTTATCACAGGATTTTGAATATGAAAGGTAAAAGCATGTTTCATACTGCAGAGAAACACATATGTCTCTGTGTGAAAGAGTCTGCCAAGATTCATCGAAAATGTCAAAACACCAGTGCAATCACCCTGGGGAGAGACAGTTGGAATTCCAGGACAGGATTTATTTACCCATCCCAGCTGGAAATTCATCAATGCAGTCACAGTGGGGCAAAAGCCGTTCACCTTTTTTGAGTGTGGAAAGAGATTCACTCAGTCAATGCACTTGCTGATACACCAGTGAGTTCATATTGGGGAGAAACCATTCACCCACTCTGTCATTGAACTTGCTAACACCCGAGTGTGTCCACACTGGAGAGAGACCATTCGCCTGCTCTGATTGTGGGAAAGCATTCACTCAGTCAAGTCACCTGCTGATACACCAGCAAGTTCGCACAGGGGGGAAACTGTTCACCTGCTCTGTGTGTAAGAAGGGATTCACTCAGGCATCCAACCTGCTAACACATCAATGAGTTCACACTGGAGACAGACCATTCTCTTGCTCTGTGTAAGAAAGAATTCACTTAGGTCACTGTATAAAATGGCATGAAGGACTAAAATTGATGATGATATTCGATAGCTGCGTGACCTCAAATGAGTCCTGTGACCATTCCAACATGTTTTTCTGTAGTTGTTTTTCTGTGCCTTGCTGCTTGTTACACTGTATAACAGAGAGAGTTTCATTCCAAGTCACTGGACTTCGCCTCAGACTGGAATCGTGAACGGTGCCAGGAACAAGCTCAGCCTCCAGACCAGCTGTTGATCAAGGGGTCCCCCCAACGGCCAGAAGGCCGAGGCTTATTCTTCTCTTTCTGCTTATTTTCATTCTTTTTATTTACTTAATAAATGTGTCTTTCTTTTTCGTCTTTCATTAGTACTTATTAAACATTCATATTTAAGCAAATTGCTGTTGTCGAGTCTTCTCTTTACTACGTTTAACTGAATCTGAAAAGAACCGCTTAGATACAGTCTGTGATCCAACACATTTTGGCAACAAGGATGGGACACGAGGAAAATGTTTAAGAAAAGGGAAAAGCACCCTGTTGCTCTGGAGACCTTCTGTATTCCAGAATGGAACGTGGCAGACTCTGGCCTCAGATCTGTAGCTAACATGTTAGCATAACTGGGACACCTGAAAGGATGGAGTATGGTTATAACCGGAAAAAGAGAGAACTGGAGTCCAGATTTCTGTGCTATGCAAGTGCACTGAACCTTGTAGAAGTGTTAACTCTTTGCAGTTTGGCTTGAATCCACCTTTGTTTGTTGGTTGCTAAATGTCATCTTGTACAATTTGTGTGTTTTTGTTCTCTGGAGCTTGAGATCTGGGGTTACTTTTAAGTTAATTTGCATGTTGGGAATGTCTGGTGATTTGAAAGTGTGGTGTGTGCCTGTATTAGTGTGGAACATGTATGGTTAATGTAATGTCCTTTTAAGAAACCATCACTGCCTGTGTAAAGCAAATATCTGAAAACTGTTGATTCAAAAATCTGATTTGTCAAGTTTGGTAAAAATTTACCTTTTTGGAATTGGCTCCGTGTTGTGTTTAGACTTGTGTAGATTTTAATCCTAGAAATTACTATGTTTAGAATTTCATTTCCTGGCTGAAGTGAACTTCCAAATACTGTTAAAACATGAGTCAATTTTTAATTCCTGATGATAAGATTGACTGACTCATTGTCCCTATCACTTGGATATTAACGTTGGTACGTTGAAAATGCAACTCCCTGTGTGCGAGGAGTTTTGGAAAGGCAAATTTAACAAGGAGGAGGAGAGATGGATGAGATCATTACGTGCAGGAGTTTACGTCCCACCACCTTTTTGAGTCTGTACTGGATTAATATTAATTAACCCATTCTGCTTGATGTGGAATGTATGGAACTTGTTTTTCTTTAAGAAGGTGGAGACACTGAAGGCTGAACCCGTTCGCAGAATTTCAACTTCACAACAGAGTGATGGATGAGGCACCCTCATCCCACCAAGCCATTCATCAATAACACATTTCAGTGTTGAGGAAGTACTGTAGAAATATCAACTGTAGTGAGTGTCAGGAATCTTGAAACCGGTGAGCCTGGATACACTTAAGCATATCATGACAGAAACTATATTTAAACTCACATGTCCTGGTATTCTGAAACATTTAAATGGAATAGTTACCTGAAAATTTAAAGTGATTCTGGGAAATGATAAAGTGCATGCATACAGTCTCAATGGTTTCAATGCATGAAAGTGGTTAGTGACTGTAAGGGAGCCAACAGAACATTGACTTTGGACAAATTTACATAGAGATATGTCTAAAATGAGTCATCAAGTAATGTTACAACAGAGTGGGTCATCTCAGAGAAAGAACAAACAAAGTAAGTTGTACCTGAATCAAACAGAAATGTTTGATTTCTGCTTTAAAATATTATAAGATTATGTTCCAAGGACTACAAATCTCTACAGAGTATGAATCTTTGCAGTGGTAATAGTTAGGCTGCTGAATTGGATGGGTTGAAGTAATTAAGGGGGGACACTGATGTCAGAAGACAACAAAATTAGAATGAAGCAGCAATGCAGATTCAAATGTTACTGTAGTGAAAAAGAGGTTTAGATGAGAGCACGAAACAGATGGCTTTCTCTTGATGATGTTTGTGTTCTTGTCTTTCCTTTCAAAATTTGGTGATTAAGCCACTACCCAAGGCATTGGGACCATATGTGGAGAAATAAGTAAAACCTCATACATCATTTGATAAGATCATGTGGGAGTCAAGAATGCATGACATAGTCTTCGGATACCGATGTAAGTGTGCAAAAGTGAATGTTACCTTGGAGGTAACAAACATGAGACAGCAAATAAAGAACAGATCTCAGACATGTACACCCACATGATGAAAGGATTAGTGTGGCTCAGAAGAGCACAAAAACATAGTTTAAACCATAAGACACTAACGCAAAATCCTTAGAGAAACTGACTTTAAAAGCAATCAAAGTAGTATTAGTGAAAAGGATGTAAAATGAATGACAATCAGAATAAAAAGTATGCTTAGCTATTATGTCAAAATGCTACAGAAATGAAAGAATATGGATTATGGAAGGAGTAATGGAGGACTGAGTGAAAGGGCCGATTTGGTGACATACAGATACCCCATCTGGAGCATTTGTATGATGCATGTACTTCAGTGTATAAACCAGTAGGTGATATTGTAATGTGTTAGGAGAGTTAGTGATGTGGAAGAAGGCTGAGCTAAAACTCAGGTGGTGTAGGAGTTTGTGGCAAGGGAATGCCTTGGAAAATAAAAGGCAGGAAGCATAAGTTGAAGGTAAACGTTAGAGTTGTATTGTTTGATACCATATATATTGTAGCTCAAAGGGAGTATCTGCATTTAGAGGTACTTACCACTCAACGATACAATCATTCGTACAATTGGCAAGGAAGGAAACATGTTGGAGAAGTATCCTCAAGACAGGTACAGATGAAGACAGCTGGAGAAATTCTGAGTCCACGTGTGGTGTTATTTTACTTTTATTGGGTGAAGTGATCTGTGAATAGGGAAATGGAGAATTTAAAAAAAACACAAATTAAGGAACCTGAATCTGGAATATATTGAATTTTAGAGCAAATTATGTAAATAGAATAACTGAAATAGAATGTAGATGATATTCTGGTCACCTCAATCAGCTGGTTCTATCACCGCCTTTATCGTACATCAGGAGTGGGATATTCCTTGGAACGTAAGAGGAGGAGGAGTGACCTTTCGAGGTGTATAAAATCAGGAGGGGCATAGATAGGATGAATGCATATGGTCTTTTACCCAGGGATGGAAAATTGAAAACTAGAGGGCATAGGTTTAAGGTGAGAGGGGATAGATTTAAGAAGGACCTGAGGTACTACTTCTTCACGCAGAGAGTGATGCATATATAGATAAGGGCTGCTAGAGAAAATAGTTGTGGCAGGTACATTTAAAAAAAAACATTTGGATAGGTACATGGACGAGAAGGATTTAAGAGGGATATGGATGAAATGTGGTCAATTGGAACTAGATGAGTGGGTACCATGGTTAGCATGGACAAGTTTGGGCCAAAGGGCCTGTTTCCACGCTGTATTACTCAGAGTCTATGACTATTATTATTTAAGGATTAGTCCCTAAAGGTCACTGCAATCATTAATTTGATGATACACCCAATTGTTGTATTGTTCATATTGATGGTTATTTTCATTGTAGTTTTAATCTTCTTGTGTAGGTTACATACTCATATTATACGTTCTCGTGTTGCTGTCACTGATTTGTGACAGCATCTGCAATTGTAAAATGGGCTGTCACATATCAACAGGGGTGGATTGTACAGGATGGGCTGAAGGGCTAAACTTATTGATGATATTCGACAGCTGCATGACCTTGAATGAGTCCTTTGAACATTCCTGTATATGCCAAAGCCAGCACAACCAACGTGTTTTTCTGTAGTTGTTTTTCTGTGCTTTGCTGCTGGTTACACTATATAAGAGAGTTTCATTCCAAGTCACTGGACTTTGCCTTGGACCAGAATCATGAATGGTGCCAGGAAAAAGCTCAGCCTCCAGACCAGCTGTCGATTGGGGGGTTCCCAATAACTAGAAGGGTATGAGGCTTATTGTTTTTTTCCTCTTTTTCTCATTCTTTTTTGTCTTTTAAGTAAATAAAGAAAGAAACATTTATTATTATTACTTATTAAATATTCATATTTAAGCAAATTGCTGTTGTCGAGCCTTCTCTTTACTACATTTAACCGAATGTGAAAAGAACTGCTTGGGTACACTCTGTGATCCAAGACAGTCATCCAACCTGCTAACAAACCTGCGAGCTCACACTGGGGAGAGACCATTCACTTGCTTAATGTGTAGAAAGGGTTTCACTTTGTCACTGACAACACCAGTGAATTCACTAAAAAACACAGTTCAGTGATTAGAGATAACAAGGTGTAGAGCTGGATGAACACAGCAGGCCAAGCAGCATCAGAGGAGCAGGAAAGCTGACGTTTCAGGTCTGGACCCTTCTTCAGAAAAGAC